TTACCTAATGTAAAATTGTAAATCAATAAATTTTGAATTCGTATAAATACATGAGGTGTTTTTTGACAGTATATTTATTGTGTTATTATTTATAGTGTTTATTAATGAGTAAGTTAAAAAAAAAACGTCATTTCGTTTAATCCGGATTTTCGATAATCCGGAGAGAGTCCGGTCCCATCTAGTCCGGATTAGCGGGACTCTACTGTATAACGTATAGTAATATAGGTAGTTATATGTAATGGTTTTAACTCACCTAGTTAGGCTTGTGCCTAAAGAAGGTGGGTAGGATCCTCTAAAACCAGTTCCAGCCGATGAGATCTGATGGTACATACTGGCTGGTGTGTGCCTGAAAAAATAAAAACAAACACAGTATAAAAGTTGTACAGTTAAAAAGCTAAGCCCTTGTTATTTGAAGTACAAAGGACAGAAAGCATAGTGGAAGAAAAGCGGCTTAGATAAGTTTTGCGAGGGAGTAAAGARATCGTTTCTGGTGAATTACGGAAGCCGTCGGCTACGAAAAGCCGATTGATTTCCCAAACTGAGAAAAAAAAATAAGGGGAGAAACTCGATTTTCCTAGTAACAAATTGACCGGAATAAGAACAAACAAGGGTCAGTGTGGTGGACAAACTAGATTAGAGGTTTTCACGGGGCGTCGACTGACCACGCCCCACTACATTCGATAATTTACACGCCATAGTTTAACATTTAAACGATTTTTAAAAATTCATAACTTTTTTTAATATTCAGCGTATTTAATGATTACTTATGAATTATGAGTTTACAACTATTAATATTACCGAAAACATTTTACAGATTGATAATATTGATATGTAAGTAAAAATCACCGTGTTATAGATACTCTTATATTTTTATAAATTATAATCATCTACATTGGTAGTAAGATAAAAATTTGATAAAAATACTATCCCTCTTAGAAAAGATAAAATGTGATCACGCATTTGGTTTATTTACAATTCAGTAACTTATATAATAAATAAATAATATGAAAATATACATTATACGTTTTTAGGTATTTCAGTGATTCTGAAACAGTTATTTAAAATTAATTTCAACATATTATGTCTAAATTAATTAATTTAGTTAATTTAATAAGAAAATCTATTCTTTGAGAAAATATTCTAATAAATWGTAAACACTTTTTATCATAGTAATAAAAACAAATACTGCTTTTCTTTTAATTTTCGATATTTTTTATAATATTTATACTTTAAAATTAAATATTTAAACAATAAAATTAAATCATAGGCATTAGTACTGAATTCAGAGAAAAAATAATAATTTTTTTAAGTACTTACCATGAGGCTGCAACTTGTGACATGTCCGGACTTAATAACGGATAAGGGTACTGGCCTGTGGGAAATGGGTACATTGAAGGCCTCGGAAGTCCTAAATAAAACAAACAATAGTTAATATACCTATTACATTTTTTTTATATAATACTAAGATTTTTAAAATTAATTTAAATGTTGAATATTTAATTTAATAATTACATTAGAATTGCAATACAATATAAAAACCCAATTGAATATTTTTTATTTCAATGAWCCGAATAAATGTGCCATTTGGTTCCATACAAATTTTTGAGATAATATAAAAACCAATCGGGCGGCTTAAACGAAAGGGTCTTAAAATGCGTTTAGATTTTTGAAAGAGCACTCAACTAAAAACAAAGGGTATCGATTCTGCACATTATGGATTTTTTCATGTTGCTAATGTTAACACTTGAACAATAAAACCTTCCACAAAGTTTTATAAAAAACAATCATCTTCTCTGTTATTTATATCCAATAATAATTTTTTTTTGGAAACCCGTCATAAATAATATCAAGTTAAAAATAGCATTACATAGGTGCTTATTTAATATTTTGAATTTTTATTCAGATATGAGCATAATATAGTTGTTTTGAAGAATACTCATATATTTTATTTTAAATTGACGAAATGGCGGTCATTTTATAAATGKTGAAATTTTATTAAACAATACATATTACATTATGAACAAATTGTTTAAAATATAATTATTTTATATTTATATTAGTTGTATTCTACATATAATATTATTTATAATGCACACACACGACACACACATTTATATATAGTTAAAAATGATACTAATTACGTAAAATATGCAGAAAAATTAGGTCGAGAGTACTGATGTTGAACTTAACACACTAGAACGTTTCACACTCTTAGACGTACACTTAGACTTATATATGAGAAAAAAGTAGTACCTATACTTTTACGCAGAACTTTACTTCAATTAAAATATATAAACCGTACAAATGAGGGACCGATTAAAATTTGACCAGGAGGTTCGTTATGTATAGCCATAGGGGCGAGCAAAATAATTGTTAAAAAGTCGAGGACTTTTTTAAACCCCTTTTTTGTGTCACCGTAATTATCATGGCATAACGGTATTGTTTTCACCGCAGGCCTTTTTAAAGGATTGGCTTCGTCAATGTCTACACGCACTCATATTTAGGGGTTCTTTAGCTTTAAAGGGTGAGAATAAAAATCGATATTAAAAAAAAAAAATGTACTCACCGGGTGCTTTGTCAAGTTGGTAAGGAGGTATGCCCATATGGGCGGGTGGTGGTTGGGTACCCAGCTGCTCGCCGTTGTGGCAAAAGAATGGATGGGCTGGTCCTAAACCAATCTTGCTTGCCTGTAACAAAATAATATATAAACAAAATTAAATTAGTTAAAATTTATATTAGTACTAAACAGACAAATCTTTCAACCAAAAACGATATTTGTAAAAAAAAGATTGATTTATATTTTAATACAAAAAATAATAAACCATTTTACGTGCCAGCATCGTTTGAAAATACATTTTTTGCTCGTTTTGAAATTGTAAGATGTAGTGATAGCGCATACAATACGTGCCTGTTTAGCATAAGTTATCAAGTCCCTTATCGCAATAACAAACGACGGTTCAAGTGGTTGAGTCTCGACCCATAATAACGCCTTTTTTAGATAATCCACTGTTTGCGTAGCAGAAGGTGGGATTTCAATGTCTTCGGAATCTGTTGACAAATTTTCTGGCTCAGTGACTTCCACAGGATTAGATAAAATCCAAGCCAACATATTGTCATCTGATACTTCCAGCCCAAGATCATGGGCTAACCACTGTACACTCAAAATAATACCTTTCATCGCAGATGTATATGTACAATTTTTCCAACAAGTTGWAAACGATTCCGTGGTGACTTGTAACCAAGCTCTATGTAATAAAATGAACGCGTCTTTTAATGTATATTTTTCTAAAAATCTTTGAATCGATCTTTCAGATTGTTGATCTAAGGACGCCTGAGTAAGAAGTAGAGCTGTGTATGTAGCTTTGAATTCAATAAATAATGTAGATTTAGAAATTGGATCTCCGTCGTGATTTTGTAAAGAAACTCCATTATGTTCGCATTTTTCTGGAATAAAAGATACTTTATCCATAACCAACACAGCTTTTGAATTGATAGACAGAGCAGCTGGACAAAATTCTGTCTCAAACCACCATTTAAACAAATCTTGTGTAGGAAACCCATCACCTCCCCCTGCGTAAATAACAGGTTGCCCTAACATATTCACAGTTTCCATACAAGGTGGTCTCCATCTCTTACCTATAACTAATACTCTGGTCCTGTGTCTTCCACTTTTGTTGCCGGCCATCAGTAGCCACACTTTTCGGTCTGGATTTTTAGTGGTATTTAATGTTACATCAGGAATACCGTTGATGTCAAAAGGAATCAATAGTCCAGCATATGTTTCGTCATCATTGTATCCTTCTAAGTTACCTCGATTCTTCATGAACTTCTTAATCCAATCTAGCGTGATTATAGATATGACATCTGTAGAAGCTTTGAGCGTTTTCAATATCATTATGGTTTTTTTCTTCAARTTTAATGGAGTAAGWGGTCGCCCAATACTCTTCGTCCATCGCGTGTACCAAATTTCCAGTTTTTTTATAATATCAGCTTCGCTAGCGATTCGAACTTTGGCTGGTTTTTTTATAAGGACTTGCCTTCTAGTTTTCATTTTCATCATCGGTTACTTCTAGCAGCGGACATATCGCACGAACGACGACTGTGATGCGACTGAAACTGGCGGGCTGGCTCACTCCAAATATATAAGTAAAAGGAGATGGACGGACATCAAAGACCAGCAACGGAGATAGCTTTTGGAAAGGCCAAAGAATAAAGCAACTTTGACGGAGAACTYTACAGTCGACACCGCATTATATATATTATGGTAGGAGAGCAGGACCTTTGATGTATGTCCTTTTGATGTTGCAATGCCTCCGCCCCAACAGATAAATGCACTTTACCCCGTTACAAAGAGCTCTTTGACTCAAAGGCATATTTGATTCGCTTTTAATAACGATTATTTTTTAAACTTCAAAGAACTATTTTTTTTTTTAATATTCCGTTATGTTTTATAAAATAATATATCAGAAGGAAACAGTTGGTTTACATTTTCCTAAATAAATAATCTAAATAGGTAAATAATTTTATTCGTATGCATGAAATAATAACATATACAGGGCACAGGGMACAGGCGTATAGCAACTTTTATTTATTTTATATGCGGGTGTTTCAAATACAATAACATTAACCAAAATAATCTAATGACGTATGTAATTCTGAAATTTAATCAATACAAGTTTCATAGAATCAATTTCAAGATAATCAAGTTAAGAACCCTCAGTTCAATAGCTTCCGGAACTGTTCTTCAATCTCACGCCAAGTTGGTCAATTCGCAATTCACACCACACACTAATGTTGATTTCCTTATTAAATAAATACATAAATGCAATTTAATTTTAGTTAAGTTTGAAATACGAAGTTCGTCACTGACYGAGTATATTTCATACTATAATATTACAATTGATAAAATTTGATAATTAATAAGGGACTTGATAAAATTAAAATAATTATATAATTAAGGAACCTTCAATTAATTAATCATTAATTATAATTTATTATAGAACAGAATTTACATAATTAAAAAACGGAAACGTACAATTATTGTATTTTATAAGTTCCTACGCGATGAGAATATTTTGTTTTATTAGATGTTAGAATCATAGACCTTATGGTCTATGGTTAGAATAGACATTAATTTTATATTTAATTCAAAACGATATCTAATAAACAACACGTAATAATTAAACACTCATTTTTATTAATTTTATTCAGACTTTAGTTTTTAATTATTAACGTAATAATTTTTTCAGAAGTCACTCAACCAAACTACATTATGTATTAATTTGAAAAATGTTGTCATTGTATACACACACTGGTGAGGATTTAGTGAAACATATAGAGGGGCTTTTTAAATACAATTGCTAAGTCCCTTTTATCTTGTCATTGTCCCCTATCAATTTTTTATAATTGTTATATCTTGGATGGCACGCGTACCTCAATATAAATGAGCACACGACATAATAAGGGCACGGTATTTTCAGTTCATGTTTATTACACTAGTTTATTAAATATTGTATCAATATTAATTTTGTTTTATGCTTCCTGTCAGTTTCAGTGATACCTATTCTAATATTTGGCCATGTGCACATTTTATTACTTATCGTAATGATATATTTTAGGAAATAAATTAATCGCTCTTTTACTAATAAATAATATGCAGCGTGAGTGTTATGAAAATAACTATATAATAAATGCAATATATTTTATTCTACCACATATTTATTATAGATTGTAATACCAATTTGTGTATATTTTATATAGCGTCTCATTAGAATAACATTAGGACTCCCTGCGGCCGAAGTGGCCCTGCTGCGAGGATTTACACCAAAGTCCTCGCCATGCATAGAATAACATTACCATTATCTACCCAACTAATCCTTAAATAATAGACACGTAAATGGGGACATGCCATAAACCCTGTGACAACGTATTTATGGTCCTTTTGTGCATTAAAAAAAAAAAAAAATTAAAAAAAAATAATAACCCCCCAAAAATAATACATGGGTACAAAAACAAGCCATACTAAACAATTTCTCAATAACATTCATATTTTTTAAAGCCGTCGGACCACGCCCACACGCTTTTTCAATCAGGATCTGATTGCAGATCAGTGAAAGGTTTCCGGGAACAATGTGGACCGATGAATATCTTAACGGAAAGCTCCATAATAGAGAGGGTTGGATAATATRAGGGTGCAGTTGTAATATATAAAGCCCATATGCACGATGATTCTTATCATTTGCGCAAGTAATGCCACGGTTAAGTGCATTGTCAAAACTCGGAATAAATCTGGGCTGTGACATACTCTATGACAAAAATTAAGCTGTCAATCATCAACATAGAAACAAAATTTACCTACATGAAAATTAAATAGTRTTARATTATATACTTGATAAAAGTATGTGCAAATGTGCAATACGAAAAATTATAGTTGCCTATACTATAATATACGATATAACTGATATATATATATAAAACTATATACCATAATATTATTAATAACGATATAGTACTAATTTATTATGCCGATAACAAATATATTAATTATAGGTATTCAAATTGAATAAGACAACGTTTTGTGAAATTTTTTATGAAAATGTACCATATTTTTACAGATTACCTATAACATATAATAGTTTTATCAATTTATTAATATTTTAATATTAATTAACTATATTTTAAATAATTTTAGACTGGGTAGAATAATACAACAGCTGTATACTCGTATTATTACAGATAATACGTGTATCATTATTTTGCTAAATTGTAATATTTAATTTTCTGGTAATTATATTTTTTCACGTTGAATGTATAATCAAATAACTATATTGACAAATAAATTATAAGCTTCTTGGAAATGTTAACAATGTTTATAGATGCATAGGTAATATATTAAAGGTTTATTTTCCATTTCCTTTATTTAATGCTTTTTAAAATTAAATACGAAATGTTCAAATTACAAAAACCAGGAAAATTTGTAAAATATGGATGTTTAATAAAAGTTTTGATACCTTCAAAATATTTATCATGTACGAATATTGAAGTCATTAAATAAAATTGTACATTTTTTCCCTCCAATACTTGAATATCTAGTAGAATATCATTTTAATTATAATACCTTTCAATAGCGTACTTGACTTATTCACTAACATATTTTTTTAATATTTAATTGGACGTCGTCACAGGGTCACTCAACTACACTCATGAAGACGAAAACGCACAGGATCATWATATAATTTTTCGAATCGTATAATGAATAAACAACAAGAATGATTGGTAGTATTATAAGAAAAGCCGCGTGCCTCTTTTTTTTGCATGAGCAGATTTTTTTTATAGGGACGGAAATTAAAGTGTCCGGTATCCATAAGAAAAAGACCCTTTGGGAAAAAACGTGGAATACTTTTTTTCATAACAACCCGCTATCGTATACGGTTCAAAGATTTTCTAAAAAAATAGTCGAACGGGTATTTTAGCCTTTTGGCAGGAACGCAAAAGGCCACCAAATGTCTGGAATTTAAATTTTCTCTTTATTCATTTTATTTTGACTATTATTACTTTTTTTTATACTATTATCAGTTTCTCTTATATTTCCCCGATACATTTAAACGATGTAAATTTTTTTTATTATTTATAAATATCTGTACACACACACAGATATATATAAATATATATACTGCAAAGCTTATTAATGAGGAAAAGGTTRTAAATTATGAAAGAAATTATATTAAATAAGTTAAATATAAATAAATGATTAAGATAATTTAATAAAACAATTATTTATACTTAATACAGTTTAAAAAAATATTTGTTTATTAATATAGGTAGGAAATACATTATATTCACGCGGTGCTAGATTTTTTCTGGTAAAATAAAAATTGTAATACATTATATTATGATACACACGACTAAATCATGTTGTTTAATGCATACACAAGATAGTATAAGTATTTAAAAAACAATTCTTTTTATACTGTACAATTTATTTCAATAATTTATTATTTTAGTTATAGTTTAAGATTAATAATATTAATAAATAATAATCATTTGAGCGGCTTTTCAAAATCGTTAAATTACAGAAAATAGGATTCTATTGGTAWATGTTCTTGTTTATTTTACAATCGTTTTTCCATTTTACTAATGCACCAGAGGGTGAATGGCTGAATAATAATAAAGTATAAATCCCCAACGATTTCTTTTCATCTTCAAACACAAAAGGAAAACTTATAGTAATAATACTAACTGGAAATAAAATAAATACAGGAAAAATGTTAGTTGTGTAAAATATACACGGTGGCTCGTAAACTGTACCAATTTATTATTTCATCGTAAAGACTGAAATTAWTAATACTTATATAATACATAAATGATAACARCATAATGGTGTATAAAATATTAATTTTTACCCTAATATTTTATAACAGCAGATTTTAATTCAGTTATTCAAAAATTTATTTTTATCTACATAAAATTGTTACTTTTCTATCCTGCAAATCTACTAACATAGACTACATGTGTATATATTTCGATAATAATTTAGTACCATGGGAGAGCTCATCCTTCTTGATCACTGGGACTGTCATCAGGGGGATGTAATGGGATAGGGTTGATTGGTTACAAGACAAGTGGACCGAATATGATGACTATCCCTCCCCTGGGCATTTGTATGTTAATGACGTGCATATAGTTAGGACTGGAGACTGACGAGTGCAATTTTCATCCCTTTGATGTCTCCCTTAATCCTGTTACTCGCCTCTACGGCGTAGTTTCTTCGTCTCAGGCATTTACCAATGTTTCCGAACTACATCGAAATAAAAAATATACACTATGTAAAAAGGGGAAATTCGAAAGGGCTACGAAAAAAAAGTCAAGTGCGGGTTGTACATGATCGTATAGTGTAAACATATAAAAGGGAATGACCACTGTAAGTGGTTTACAAGCCCAGCAGGCCGTGAAATATGGATTATGATCGGCTGCATGGGGGTATTGAAAAGGGTTGGTTAATAGATTTATTATGATTGCGCCAATTGGTTTGTAATTTGACCGTAGTGGGTTAACATGTACAATTTGAATAACATGCAACTATCGTTTAACTTACAAGTAAGAGAAGTTCCATATTATATGTTTGGTGCTCATAAACGTTTATTTTGGTTTAACTTGTGTAGGTATAGATTTATAAATTAGGGAAATGTGATAGGTATAATAATGATGTACCCACAKAATACATAAAGGCTATAATTTTAAATGCTTGAAAAATAATTATAATATGAAATACTTATATATATTATCATCACGAAAATGTTACAAAAAATAGGATGATAAATGCAAAAGTTATAGAATTGTATATTTAATCATAACTCAATACTAAATACGTCATTAATCTAACTAAATTTCTCTAAAATATTATTACCTACTTAATCATAATAAAGTATAACTTCTAAGTGTTTTAAATCAAAATAATATACTCCAAAATATACGAATATAAAATTTTTTTTTTTTTTTTAATTTTGAACTGCGAACATAAAACAGTCTAGGACACTTATACTATGRTCTATGTTATAAATTAACAGTTGAAACTGATTTTCAGTTTACTTTTCACAATACCTAAAAAGTATACAGATAAATCTGAAGCTCCATAAAATATATCCATCGTTTGTCTCCCTAATCGCAAATTCATATTTGCTTTTCATATTTATTCTTTTCCCTCGGTTCCTATTCACCTTATTATCTCGTCTGTAACTAATTCGGGACCGGTGGTAGTAATCGAAACTATACGGTGTACATGGAATTTTAGTACCAATATTTGCTCATCGGCTACCCTTTATTGTCATTGGTACTTCATAGTATACATGTTAAAAAAAAATCATTAGATTAAACTAGAATGTCCTCTCCGAGTATTAATAGATTTTAATCTGATGGGGACCGATTGTTTGGTTTAAATAGCGCGTGGTGTCCGAGGGAGGTATGTGGGGAGGACTGTAACATACATAAAGGGTTGACAACGGCAATTTGTCCTTTATACCATCCCCTTGCTGCCCTTCTGCCCATGGCTTTTGAACAAAGGTCTCTTTGAAATTAAAGGTACGTGACATTTGCAACTGGACTTCATCATGTTCTCATATGCAGGTTATAGTCTGTTGTATAGTTAATTAAAAAAGGACAACAATATTTCAAATAAACAAAGCTACACCTAAATAGTTTTTATCAAGTATGAAAATAAAATGAATTTTAAAAAAAACGGTGTATAGAATTTGTAAATACACAAAGTAATGGTGTGAAGTAAAGTTTRTTTTATCTGTAATAAATTAATAGAATAATACTAATAGTACTAATAGTGTTAGCTATTCAATTTTGAATTCATATTTTAAAATAATTATCAACATTGAAAAAAATATCTGTGATACTATTAGGTATATGAACTTGAATATTGATATTAATTATTTCATAAGTTAATAAAATAATAAAACGGATTAAATACATAAGCTATAGATGCCCAGATATCTTTTACATTTGAATATTTAATCTTATCAATATCTGATTTTTAAACTTTATAAAAAAAAAATTGAAACTATATATTTTTGATATTTATAAATTGCTATATAACAAAAAAAAACTTATGAAAAACATTGTATCAAACCTTCAATTCTTGTATATTAAAAATGAAAATCATATAATAATWATAAATTATAGTTAAAAGAGTGAAAAAATATTTTTTCAATGATATCATGTCAAGAAAAAGGTGTCATGTTCACAAAATATTAAATATTTATTTCACTTTTTTCTTGGTTTTTTTAAAAGCGTTATAACTTTTTTCTTATTAAAGATAACAAACAAATAATAACGCTACGACACAGAAAATATTATGTTCTATATTGTGTTAAATTTTGGTGTTTCTGGGTACAGAACTACAGACTGAGTGGTTCTATTCCRTGAAAAACAGTTTTTGCAATGTTACGCACTTGTAAAAAACGGAGACAGTAAAGTAAACGTAAACTAGTAAACGGAGACAACACATRAAGGTATCACGTCCTCATAAAATTGTCTACYATCCCGACGTTAATTTTAGAAGAAATCTTATGATTCAAAAAGCAATGAGAAACACAAATAATAAAGTAACAAATTGTGGTAAAACCAATAAATTCATGGTTCCAATAAAAATCAAAAAATAATAGGTATATTCAAAGAAACACAGATTTATTTGTGTTAGGTTATGTTATGTAAAACTTGTCAAATAAACTTGTATATCAACAAAATTATATATATTTATATCAAATTTCAATTATGGATAAAGCAACAATATCGTATTTCATAAAACACAGTTCTCACTTCCAACTTTAACATAAATCGAACGATATTTGAAGCTAGTCATGAATAGTCCACCACATTTTGATGATTTTTTTTCTTATTTTTTTTTTTATTTTTAACAAAAAAAAAAACAACCGAGGAATGGCATTGGAATTTTATCAAAAGTCTGGTCGCCAGGGAATTGAAGCGAAAATTTGATTTGCACCCTTGGAAACACCGGGACCTTTTCTGCAAAAAGTACGTGGGGTCCTTTGATCTCGTGTCAAAATTGCGTCAACACCACACCACGTATCTTTCCCCCCATCCACTGCCTTTAACTTTCATCGTTCCTTTGTTTTATACCCAGAAATTACCTTAAAATAACGCCATTTTTGTTTACTTTCGTCACACTATAAATTATCATTTTTGAACTACGATATTATATAATCTGCGCCGAAAGAGAAAAACCTTGATGAGAAATATTTAATACGGTTAAGATTGGTGAAAAATATTCACAAGCATTTATATAATTTAACATTTTGTTATGCATATCCATTTAAATTACAATTAATACATGTGTTTTATTATTAACTATTGATCTTAAAGTATCATAACGACCACCGCAGCAAAGGATACGACAGCATTATGATTAGGTTTTGAGATTTTCAAAGGGTTGGGCGCGTGCGCAAAAATGGAAAACCCCTTTCACCCTCCTCTCGGTTGTGCTTACACCATCGATTTCAAGATGGGCGACGTCGAGCCGCTCCCCTATACCCCACCAACAATGTCCTCTTCTGATTGCAAAAGGGATACAGGAGAAAATAAACACCGAGATTAAAATAGTTTGCAAAATATCCGTTTTTAAATAAGCAATATAAAAAATGTGGACTTACGGTTAAAGGATCCCTTTGAGATTCGAGATAGGAACTCATCTGAAAAAAAAATTATTKTTATTATTATAACTATTAATATCATTTTAAGTAACTTTAAATACAGGAAATTAAGAGGATATTTCACTGACTTTGAAAAACGATTTCCTTATAAAATGTCTACATTAGGTACAGTAACATACTTTACATGTTTTATTTAAAAATAATATTTATTTAAACAATTTTAAATCATTTGTATAATATAAGTAATTTCACCAACGTATATACACTTAGACGCTGAACCACGCAGTATAAATCGATGTAAAAAATGTTGTATAATAATTAAATCAATACATTTATGAAAGAATGAAAACGATTYTAAAGGATAATAAACTCAATAAACGATTTAAATTAACGCGGGCATCTTCTGATCATCAAAATAACATTATCAATACCATAAATATTCTCTTTGGAATAAAATAATCAAAATGTATAACATTTATATCCATAGAGTATACAGACGATTGTAATTATTTATCAGTAAATAATATAAGATATACCTATAATAACGTTCATGTATGTTTATTAGTATTCATTTTTTTATAAATTCATTATTAGTATAACTATTTATTATTTAATTGAAATGTAAAAAAGTAAACAATTTTTTAAATAATAAACTTAACTTATATTTCAGATACAATTAACTTTTGGTAAAGATGGACATAATTAATCATTCCACGACTAAAAAAATAATCAGAAAAAAADAGAAAAAGAATAAATTAATTAACAAAGGTAAAACTATATATTTTTACAATAATAATAAATAAATCAAAATCAAAATCATGATTTTTATTTGATAAAATTAAATTCTGGTAGTTACAGATGTACATGATAGTCCTAATAACCTATATAATGTAGTTAATTATTTTTGAATAACTAAAATGTATAGTTCGATACTTTAATTGTATATAATAGTAAGTTATAACTATACCTAACCTAAGTACTAAAATAACTTAATAAAATAAATATAATATATACAATATATTAAATAATATGTAAACTACAAATGCACGACATTATGCATATTGAACAGCTTTCTAGTATTGAAAGATAAATAGGCACAATTTAAAAATGTTATATTTAACGTAATTTCTTATTAATTTAAAACAAAAATAGTACAGTTTTTAATGTAGCTTATACACTTTTAGAAGATTCGCCAAAAATATTAAAAACGAAAAAAATAATTGATATTCAATTGGCATTGTCGAATATCCAAAGTACATCAACTTCTAATACAGAAAATAACCAAGCTTTGAATGAGTTTATTTATAATAAAATTCATGTAGGTATWTATAATATTAGTAAATTAAATTATTTACAATCTACGAAAACAAATAATCGATTTAAAACTAGAGTCAATATTTTGTTGAAGGTAAATGTAAAAGACGAAAAAAAAGTGATTCCCATAATTATCAAAGACCAAAAGTCTCCAACAACAATTAATACTGATGACAGTGACAATTCGTCAGAAGAGAAAGGAAGTTCTAGAAAGGACAGAAAACCTTTACCATTTATATTTGATAAATCCCATCCAAATTGCATTGATAATGACACGTCATCAGAAACATCGGAAGACAACAAAGGAACTAGCTTCAATAAATGCGTATATTTAGGCGAAAGAGAAACATTAAGATCGTTTTGGGACAAATGTMTCTATGAATGTTTCAAATCTAAAAGATGTGTTGCAGGGGAAAAACCTAAGCGTAAATATCGGAAAAAATTAAAAACTCCAAAATCCTCATCAAAAAAACGAAAACAACTTGAACTTCCATTGTCATGTATTGATACAAGAGGTACTGGAATTACGAATAATAATGGTTAGTTATAAGAACAAAATAGTCTAAAAATAAATCATTTGTAGAAATTTACACATCTTTACACATTATCGTTGTTTTAAATCAAAACAACTATGTCCATACAGTTAACCAAAAAAAACTCAAATTTTAAATTCAAATAAACCATTGAATGAGATAGGTAACACCTTAATTACGTGAAAATAAAAAATAAAATGATTACACTCCAAACCCACAAACTCTAAATTTAATATTTTCAATGTTTTTTATAACCTTTTAAAAAGTTAATACCTAACTATACATTATATTTTTGTTTTTTGTCTTGATTGCACCAATAGATTATCTGAGTCGCTATGAAATGCTGTTATATATGGACCCGTTAGCTAATTCTTTGACCCCTTGGCAAAAAAAAGATTTTGAGATGGCTTTTCGTATGGTAAAGCCTACTGATATATTTTCATTAGTAGCAGAAGATAAAAATGGTGAATCAACAGACTACACCAACTCAGACACAGACTAAGAGATTTATCAGAACTGTATCRTTTTCACACACTTACTACTAACTTTTTTGTACAAATTAAATATTTTTGAATTGTTTTAATTTAATTTTTTTACTATGCTATTTGTAATTTATATAATTGAGTTTGAATAAAAATAAATAATYGTGAGCAAAATATTTTTATAGAGCTTAATGTTTTGAAAAAAATAAACCTGCAAAATAAATAAATACATTCTTGAAAGTCAAAATATTTTTAAAATTAAAATTGAACTATTTTAAAACTGAATAACTTAAATATTAATACCTAAATTAAAGGATATACAATTTCAATTAAGTCAACCAATTTTCGTCTAGCGTAATGAACCATAAACGAATTATTGCATCTATGTCCGTCGAGGACGCGTTTATTCACATAGGTCAACGGAAACGATGATGCAAAAATAACTAAGTATTATAATATTAATATTTTCAAAAGTTGTATATCTGGCCAGTTTGTCGGTTTGGAATGTTTTCAAATCTAAATTTATACTTTTATTAAGTCTGGTGCAACGACCACATGTTCATACAACGGAAAAGGATGCTGTTTTTTTATAGTCAAGAGTAAAGACTCCTTGTGTATAAGGATTTTATATTTGAGGTATATACGAATAATAATTTATAAAACAACACAGTACAAACAATCTCAAAAATATTACGTACATTTATATATCTAAATATTGTATTAAATAATTAATATTAACAAACATTTTTACTTTTGTATAGTAATATTTTGTAAGAAAAAAGAAACGTTTTCTCGGGTTTGAAAAAATTAATAAGTGATATTTTAACCATTGCCAAAAATAATTAGTTGAGCAAATAGAAATTAATTTGGTCATTTACTATGAAAAACTATGTGAAAAAAAAACTATTTTAAATTTATTTTGTATTTCAAACAAAAACCKATAGTCAAATTAATTAAAGTTTATATAATTTAAGACCAATTTTATCGTTAAAATGAATCACGTTAAGTAGAACATTATAATTTATCATAATCATACGTAAGTACAAAGGGCGTACATAATATTTATTATAAATTTATTTGCTTCCATTTGTTTTGATTATTGGTTTAAAAATTGTTTATACGTCAAAGACAACAAATTATATATCAATCTCATAATGTAATCCCCAAACCCTTATTTATTGTTTTGACACTTGACATAGTGTGAACACAATGATACTGTCTGATACAGTATTTTCCCCTTTTAAACATAACACATAATACTATGAATATGGTTTTGTACGTTACAAATTGAAACATATCCTACCCTCGTTACACATAACGGTATAGAACTGATGCGCAATTTGAATTATATGTAAGTATAACCGCAAATTGAATACRAAAATATATTGATCCTTCGAAATAATTAACAAATCAACCATAAAAAATGTATAAAAAGATTTAAGACACATCGTTACGTCTTTATATATACCTATTATACCTATTATACAATATTATACATATTATACGTAGTCGTACGCGTTAATATGTAGTATACGTTTTGTATTATGTCAAAGAGACAAACGAAAAAAATAAGATACTAAGTACAATATGTTATATTGTCTGATATTTTATTTATTTATTATTTATCATTTTTTTTCGCTTTTTTAAAGACGTGAGAATATTTCACGGTTAATAAAAACGGACACAATAACGATCCGATATTGTATGTACACGGTGGTACCGGTTTTAAAAAAGGACGRAGTAAAAAAAAATCAAAATAGTATAATAATAATATTTTCGTGCATAAAAATATACACACRCATCGCATCCAATTTCGAGTGAGCGACGCCTACGGTCTGTTTTCTGTAGTATATAGAACCGTTCGTGGTGAAGTACCCTGTTTAGCATGCCACTTACCATGTGTGACGTATAGAGGCGGCGGTTACACCGCTGCTGTTATGTGCGCACGCGGGTTGCAGTGCAAACGGAATATTTGATGTGGAGAAAACGCCCGACGGGGAAGCGAATAAATAATGCAAACCCCCTCTCTGAGTGTTTTTTCCTCGCTAAACGTCTAAACATAGAGCACACGCGCGAAACGTGAACTTCTATGAATATTATATATATTTATATCAATCAAAACCATGATATGTGCGACTACCACTGCAGTGTTGTGTGTGGTGCGACTGTTAATGACTTAATAAATCTGAAGGAATGTTCTTAGAAAAAAATAAAATAAAAACTGTAACAGGTACGTTTTACAATATATTTGTCTAAATTGTTGGTGTTTAATTCGACGATACTRCTTGACTTACATAAAGATATATAGACATACTACAGTATACAGTACGGAAATTCTTAGTGCCACAGTGCCACACCTTGGGTATTTTACCGGTAGACATGTAATAAATAAACTTCAACTATGTACCTATCCCCTGCCTCCTCACTAAGAAAACAATTCATCGCAATGAGACAGATATAATATAATACCCAACTACTGAATACCGTGTCATAAAAATATATGACGATCAATATTCTTTGGTAGGTACCTTACGTTATACGAAACAAGTTACCCATATAAGTATGAAAAAAAAACACGTTAAAAAGATACATGTTCTTTAGAGTTATTTATTCACCCTATTCCAACTATAAAAACAAAACCATTGAAAACTAGCTTTACTTTTTTAAATATTTATATGAAACCAGTAATAGACTCTTGAAGTCGTAAAGG